CACAGCAGGCCGAACAATTTTTATGTCGATGCCAATTTTTGTCATGAATCAAAATAACTTGGACAATTTTTGTCCGTCTAGTGKGAAGGACCAGATCTCACTGGGCTAAATTTATGTGTGCTTTGCAAAAMATATMTGTTAACATCAGCCATTTCCTAGTGCGAACGTAACTTCTTCATCTTATCAAAATTTGTCTCGSTTTACCAAACTTCAAAGACGYCATCGGCCTGCTTCGAAGSAGAAAATATTTTTTTTCAAACGTCATAAATGTCGATCAGATATCTTGATGCTTAACACAATCAAGATACTAAAAGGGATAATGTAACTTTTTTCAAAGAATATGTAGAAGAATATGTAGAAAATATTCGGTTAAAAAATATGTTTATTCACATTGCGCTTAGTTCTTGGAATCATGCCATGATTTCAATTATTAAAATGTGTTCGAGAATTGGCAGATGTAAACAACATTATTCAAGATTATTCATATTTTGACGTTGGCAGAGTGATATTGTTATTGAAACTTTTTTTAGACATTAAAAAAAATTTCCAAGAAATCCAACAATTTTTAAGCGTGATGGCTAGAGAAGTTAGTAGATTGTGGATTTTTATGGTATTTCTTTGGAGAACAGGTAATATGCCAACATTCGGTCCATTCGCCTRAATGCGAATACATCTTCGAATTATACCTTCGAAGAGATACTTATCCGAGATATGGCAAAATATTCTTTGTGACAAAAAAAAATCTTGTTAATCATATCGTCATAAAATTTACAAGGATACAATTGACGAACATTTATTTCTATCACAAAGTACCAGGATTTGGGCATATATCGGTACAGTAAAGTTCTCTTCGAGGGGATTATGATAACGAAATTGTTCGGTTGGAATTTTCTGTTTTGAACATGTTTTTAACGAAGTAACTGCCACGGGAAAGTGCGTATTTACTTGCAAGCTCTTCAAATGTTAAGCGTAAGCGAATTGTAAATCTTTAACTCAATTTTTTATGGCCCCGTACACACTATGCCGGATAAATTTGAATCCGAATTTTTATTTATTCGGTTCCATTTCGAAAATTCGTTTTCGGTGAAGAATATTTCTGGATGAAACTTGTCGGGAAACCTTAATAAATTATTAAAGATAACCAAGAAAATATTAATATTCTCTTGAGATAACTGAAAGTCACTGGCATTTAATGTAAAACTTATCATAACAAGCGACAACTCTTTCGATCAAGGCTCTACGCGGCACTAGTTGAGCGATTTGTACGACTAGAAAAACTAAAACTAGGTGAAACTACGAACTCTGAAATGGTGGTGAATACAACCTCAAGTTTGAACTTATCTGAATCGATCGGTTGAAGAAGGCAGTTGTTTATTTCGTTAATGCCGTCGGTTTTAACCAGTTTTCTAGGCGCATCTGCTCTTGAAATATTTCCATATTTCAGGAATATTTCATCCACACTAGAATTTGAAAGTATTTGTGGACATGAGAGTTGGCAGTATCTTTTTTAAATGAGTCGAAAGTGTGTCTTCATGACTTCAGCCATTGTGCATATGGCGGCCTGCTTCAAACAGTCAAAACGTTGAAAAATGACGAAAAACTATCCAAGTTCAGCGAGCCGTAATTTTTCAAAACTTCTCATTCATTTCTGGAGAGATTTTGAGTTTTCTCCCCAATAAAAGGCAGGAAAACAAACGGAAGACGGTAGTATTTTTCATCTTCAGTTGTTTGTGAATATCTTAGAGTTGAAAGGAAGTTTGAAGTACTACAGTTTTTTTCTCAACTCATGTTGAGTTCTTGAGGTCTTCTTTTGATGCCTTTTTTACTTTGCATTTACATGTTTTGCAAAAGAAAGCCTCACTTTTGTTAACTAGTATTTCAGAAAACTTTAAACAATAGCTAAAATCATTCAAAGTAAAATAAAACTTCTCTTTTTGAGCAACTCAAACACTACATGACTTGTGGCACGTACAGGAAGCCCTTCCAATGCAGCTCTCGTTTGACATACGCTGTCAAATTTATTTTTTGYTGCTTCGCCTCTTTTTAGTCTCAATGCCTTGCCATATAATAAATATCTTATTAACCTCATTTGCTCGATCCGTACAGTGTTATGGATCCTCGTTTATTCCACTCTTTTATGGCCCGCGCGCTACGCGCTTGGGCCATAATTCAGTGGAAAAAACTCGGTCCATAACAGTGAGCTCCAAGTACGGGTCAGAACAAGCGAGGTAGTATGTGAACACAGGCAAATTTCATGGCTTAAAGACGCAAATACTAATCCCTAATGCGACTTTCTCGGTTCTATGGGGATGTGAGAGAGGGGTAATGACTAAAATTTGGCGCTTGAAAGAAAATTCGAAGACGTACGAAGTTTCAAAGACTCGTGATGGTTCGCTGTTGGGATACCGAGTCTCCAACCTTCTCTAATTTCTTACTGCAGTTGGTGGGGGAAAAATCCTTAAAACGGGGTAAATAAAAAAAAATAGCCACAGAGAGCGAAAGAAGTGCTATTTCTCGGGTAAAATGATCGGGTAAAATGATTTTATTGAACTTTTTGATGAAGCCCCATACATTTCCTTATAGAATGAAGCCACAGAAGCCAAGTTTGGGCTACCTGTGGCATTACTGGCACATAAATTTATGAGTCAACAAAACTCAAATTMCGTCCGTGGTAGGCTATTACGACGGTGATTTATTATAAATCKTGAAGTTGGCAACTTTTAGGAAGAAACTTTAAGCGCCAAAATTATTATAACGTAATATTTGGCACTTATATCAGTACCAATACAATAATCAAGAAAATACCACTGTTTATAGAAGTATYGGTTTGCCCTGTTTCGATTCAATCTGCTTATCTTATTATCTGCTTTTCTTTCTTACTAACTTCCTTGACAATAAATGGGTAAAACATTACCGATGATTTGCAAAATCACAGGCTGGTGTCACGCTGTCACATCCTTAGGGCCGATATAAACGGTACGATTTTCGTCTACAACTATCGTATACAACACATTCGCGTCATGACACCTACGATTGTCGTAGCTTTTTAAAACATGTTTTAAAATCCTACAACTGTTTTCGTGTTGCTCGAATCTGTCGTAGGCGAGTTGTAGGCTTGATTTACACGCTACGACTCGAGTTGTAGGATGGCGTGAGCGTTGCGTATACGATAGTTGTAGGCGAAAATCGTACCCTCTAAACCRGCCCTAATTAGAACACAGTCACAATTCTTCTTCCACTTATAGCGTTTAAAAAATGTGTCATAGGTATRATTATCAATCTTGTAGATGATTTACTTCTTTGGTGGCTAATTAACACCATTATTTTAATTTATTGCTTCCAAATGAGCAAAATAGTTGCATGTATAACGGAACGGGGTAGAAGATGATTATTATTATCATGAAGCCGTACAACCTATCAAGTACCATTTAATCAATTCMAAAAGATTCAGTTTTTATAATGGTTTGCTTTCAGCAATGTGTCAAATTACTGGACCTACCAAGCTTAACTACTTCGTTGGCGACATTGTTCAGTTCAGATGGAATACCGTCAGGAATTCAACTATTCTGTGTGCAACATGGGGAATACAAAAAGGCAACATTGCTGATCCTCAGTTTATAAATGTAGACATAACAAGCAGCAATGTGAACTTCAACTCAGGTCTGGAACCAGATCTCATTAAACGGCTGTCATTTGACGGGGACCTCAAGAGAGGTCGTGCATGGTTTACCCTAAAGAACGTAACTGTCAAAGATGCAAACGTGTACCTTGCAAGCATCAGTGACGATGTAACCAGAGTCYTGYCTCACACAGTTGTACTGACCGTAAAAGAAAAAGAACAGAAAGATGGAAACATTGGTGAGCTATAGTACTTTCTTTCAATTCATAGCTTTGTCTTTTTCTTGTAAGTATCTTACTTC